CGTTACCTAAAGACCGTATGTCTTTAGCCAGACATTCTGTTCCTGCAAGTGAGTGCTCTGGCTCTGTCACTGATAATTTAACTTTAATTGCTGAACATATTGGTGCTCAAGAACACATCATTTTATGTTATCTGAGTAAAGTTTGATGAATAGAAGTTACAAGGGGTAGTAAGTAAAATATGGCAGCTGGCTGGCATTTTCAGACTGGTTGTAAGAAAGAGGCAGTTTTTAACCCTTTCTTATTTTTATTTATTTATTTATTTGTGTGTAAGCTATGGACTCCTTTGGCAGTCTGACTAGGCCTATGGATCCTCCTTCAGAATAATGCTTATAAATGCAGAAAATGGCATATATAGAATTACAAAAAATCGATTATATTGAAATAAAGTTGTCAAAATATTTTAAAACCCAAGTTCATGGATCCCAGCTTAAGCATCCCCATCACATAGAATGACAACCATAAGACAATATACCAAAATTTATGAGATGCAGCCAAAGCAGTCCTTAGGAGAAAATTTATATCTCTAAATGCCTACATCGATAAAATAGAGAAAGGGTAGATCAATGAATTGGGCATGCAACTAAAATCACTAGAAAAAAGAACAAATTAAAAATCCCCAATTAAATCTCAAATTGGAAATCCTGAAAATTAAAGGAGAGCTTAATGAAATTGAAAGCAAGAAAATCATTGAACTACTAAACAAAACTAGGAGTTGGTTTTATGTAAAAACCAATAAAATATGTAAACCATTTGGTTAATTTGATTAAAAAAAGAAGAAAAACAAATTATGACTATCAAAAATGAACAGGCTGAATTTAAGTGAAATGGATATTTATAAAAATATAAATTGGCCATATTAACAGAAGGACTAGAATACTCAAATAACCCTATCTTAGAAAAAGTAATTGAACAAGTCATAAATGTGTTCCCTAAGAAAAAACCACCATGACCAGACAGATTCACAAGTGAATTCTGCCAAACATTTAAAGAACAATTAATTCCAATACCATATAAACTATTTGGAAAAATAAGCAAAAGAGTCCTACAAAACTCCTTTTATGAAAGAAATACAGTTTTTGTTGTTGTTCAGTCATTTTTCAGTTGTGTTCAACTTTTTGTGACTCCACTTGCAGTTTTCTTGGCAGAGATACTGACGTGGTTTGCCATTTTTTTTCTCCAGCTCATTTTACAGAAGAGGAAACTGAGGCAAACAGGGTTAAGTGATTTCACCAGTGTCACACAGCTAGTAAGTATCTGAGGCCATATTTGAATCTTACTGACTTCAAATCTAGCACTCTATCCCCTATGCCATGGTGCTGATACCCAAATCAGGAAAAGCAAAAACAGAGGAAAAAAAATTATAGACCAATTCCCTAATGAATATTGAGCAAAAAATTTTATATAAAATGCTAGCAAGGAGATTAAAGCAACATATCATAAAGATCACATGCTATGACCAGGTGGAATTCATATTAGGAATGCAAGGCTGATTCAATATCAGCATAGTTGACTGCATCAATAACAAAATTAACAAAAAATCATGATTATCTCTATAGATGCAGGAAATGGTTTTCATAAAGTACAACATTTGCTTATATTTAAAACACTAGAATGCATAGGAATAAATAGAACTTTCCTTAAAATGATAAGTGGTAGCTATCTAAAACCATCAGCAAACACTATCTGTAAAGGGAATAAGCTAGGAGCCTTCCTAATAAGATCAGGAGTTAAAAAAGGATATCCATTATCACCACTATTATTTGATAATTTATCAGAAATGCTAGCCATAACAACAAGAGAAGAAAAAGAAATTGAAGGAATCAGAATAGGCAATGAGGAAACAAATTTATCACTCTTTACAGATAATATGATGGTACAGTTAGAGAATCCTGAAGAATCAACTAAAAATAGTCAAAATAATTAACAACTTCAGCAAATTTGCAAGATATAAAATAAACCCACATAAATCATCAGCATTTCTATATGTTGCCAACAATGTCTAGCAGCAAGAGATAGAAAGAGAAATTCCATTTAAAATAACTGTAGACAATATAAAATACTTGGGAGTCTACTTGCCAAGACAAACACAGGAACTGTATGAACCCAATTACAAAATGCGTTTTACACAAATAAAGTCAGATCTAAACAACTGGAAATATTAATTGCTCGTGGGTAGATCAAGCTGATAGAATTAAAATGACAATTCTACCTAAATTAATTTACTTATTCAGTGCCACACCAATCAAACTAAATCATTTTATGGAGCTAGAAAAAATAATAACAAAATTGTCTGGAAGAACAAAAGGTCAAGAATATGAAATGCATCAAGGAAAAAAAAATGTGAAGGTGGGCTAGCTGTACCAGATCTCAAACTGTATAACAAAGAGGTCAACATCAAAACAATTTGGTACTGGCTAAGAAATAGAGTGGTGCATCAGTGGAATAGATTAGGTATATGAGTCACAGTAGTAAATGACCATAGTGATCTAGTGTCTCATAAATGCAAATATCCAAGCTTTTGGGACAAGAACTCACTATTAGACAAAAACTGCTGGGAAAAGCAAGAAAGCAATTTGGCAGAAATTAGGTATAGACCAATATCTATTTATTTGTTTTTTGGCTTTTAGGCAATTGGGGTTAAGTGACTTGCCCAAGGTCACACAGCTAGTAAGTGTCAAGTGTTGGGTCTGAGGCCGTATTTGAACTCAGGTCTTCCTGACTTCAGGGCCAGTGCTCTATCCACTGCACCACCTAGCTGCCTCTGGTATAGAGCAATATCTCACACCCTATACCAACACAGCTAAGTTTTGCATGCTGAAACATACATGATCCATGTCTAATTACTTGCCATCTCAGTGAGGGGGGAGGGCAGGGAGGTAGGGAAGGAATTTGGAGCTCAAAATTTTTTTAAATGAAAGTAAAAATTGTTTTTATGTGTATTTTGAAATTACATATATGTATATCTAATTTTTTAAAAAAATGTGTTTTTAGTCCAAAGTTGTTTCTACTATGCCATGCTGCTTTTTTTTGAGGGTTAAAAGCTTTTGAAACAGGAGTCTCCTTTTTTTCAAGTGAAAGCCTTTATGTGTGTACATGTGAAATCTTTTGATCTTATTAATTATAAAAATTGTTGAGCCAGAGTTAAGAGAGGCTCAAGCAGCTCTTGCAAGGAAAGTTGAATTAAGATAGAATCAGAGGGCAATTGAAGCACATTTTCCTTCTTTCTTTCTTTCCTTTCTTCCTTCCTTCTTTCCTTCCTTCCTTCCCTCTCTTCTCCCTTCCTCCCTTTTTTCTTCTCTCCCTCCCTTCTTTTCTCTCTTCCTCCCTTCTCTCCTCCCTCCATTTCCTCCACCCTCCTTCCCTTCCTTTCTTCCTTTCTCTATTCTCTCCTTTCTCTCCTTCCTTCCTTCCTTCCTTCCTTCCTTCCTTCCTTCCTTCCTTCCTTCCTTCCTTCCTTCCTTCCTTCCTTCCTTTCTTCCTTCCTTCTTATACATAAGAGAATTAACTTTAAGGAAAAAGAAAATAAAAGACATTTTCTTTACCATCCTCCTGATGGAGAGGCTGATCAGGGGAATTAGATCTCGTCACAATCATATCTAGTGGCAGTTCAGTCACCCTCCTGTAGGGGGGAGAGTGAGACCTTCACAGATGCTCAATGTCATTCCAGTCAATTTTATCCAGTAGAGGGCAAACGTACTCAGCTTTGGAAAGTCTTCAGTTTTGAAATATCAATTGTCAAATAAATTGTCTTTGCAATCACTTGTTAATAAAAAGGTGTAATTTAGATAATGGTCCCACCCCCCAAAACAAAACAAAACAAAAAACAAAACTGGGAGATGCTTTGAGTGATTTTTTTCAAGTCCCTTTCAGGCACATACTCCTTCCCTTTTAATGGTCAGGCTCTGATCTCCTTATATCATGGCGTAATAAGGGCTGGTGAACATTGGTCAGTGTACTTTGTTGATGTTTTTGACACATGGACTTTGGATCAGACATCATGCTAACCACATGAAGAGAAGCCATTTTAGTTGGCTGAGCAGGAGGCATTCCAAAAACATTAATTAGCCTAAGCAAGTCTATATGCTGAACTCCTTCCATCTGACTGGCTTTTAAGAAGAAGAACAAACTGTGGTGGGTCTCTGGGTAGGGAAGGAGCCTCTGGTCCTCTCTGAACTGGAGCCAGTCAGAAGTTGAGAATGCATGACCCTGTGGTTCTCTCTCTCTCTCTCTGTTTCTTTCTTGCTTATTCCTTCCTGCTTTTAGGAGAAAGATATTGGGGCTGATTATGACCTTTTGAGCATTATAATGTCAGGAGAGGTCCAAGACCTGGAGTCCATGAGAGTACTTGTTAGCAGTTGAGGAGTGAAGTCCTGAGCAAGCTGCCTGACACTAGAGATGTTAATGTATCCATCCATAAGCTATTTTGCGTTTGGAGGTGAACTTGGTGGGCTCAATACTAGGGAGAAACTACTTTTTAAGTTTGAGCCCATACTCCTAACAGACTAAGGTAATACAGGAGAGATTGTCACCTTAAAGTTTTGGGGAACTGTTCATACTTGTGTTCTTGTTAAAGCCTCATAGAAAATATCCATTTGTAAAAGTTAGTTGATGTTAAATGGAACTGAGGCACTAATCATTGGCAGTTAACAGTGTGTGTGTGTGTGGGGGGGGGAATTGGGTCTTGAGGCAATAGCATTAGAGAAAAACAGGCACAGACTCTCAGGGGTACCCCTAGAACTCTGAAGAGAGGTGTAGCCATCTTTATTCTGGAAGAGTTAGTCTAGAGTCTTGCTAACTTCCTAAGCAGAGAAAGCAAGTGGGGCTGGCTTTACTGTATGCCTCTAAATGGACTAAGCCAGTGCAATGTGCTTCTGTGACACAATTAGAATTTCATAATTTCTTAGTTGTGTTGTTCTCATTTTTCGTATTTCTTCAGCTAGTAGAACCCTTTAAGAAATATCCTGCTTTAAACCACACTGCATTCCGTTTAGAGGGTACATCAAAACAGTGCAACAACTATTTAAATGAATCATGTATGTGGAAACAAAATTTCCCTTTTCTAAAGTTAGCAAGAAGTATCTGTTTTTAAACCAAGTCAGCTGGAGCGTCTAGGTGGGAGCAACAGGTTCCAGGGAAGAGAAGGCCTACAGTTATTCCAAGGAGGCAGCTTCAGCGAAGGTAAATAATTCCCTTTCAACAGACACTGTATATTTTATTACTTCTTTTTATTCTCTCCAGTCTCTGAAAAGGTCTTGCACACAGTAGGCGATCAATACATTCTTATATCTGGAATGCCTTCTCCCTTATATGACTGTCAAATTCTTATATATATAGTCCAACTCAAATATTACTATCCCTTCAGTGGGATCCTCTCAGATCTCACATGGCACTTTTCTTCCATCTTTCTAGTATTTACTTATCAAATAGTATTTCAGATTATATATAATATATCTATGTATGTGTGTATGTATATACGTGTATATATATACATGTGTATATATATACACATCTACCTATCTATACATTGGTTCTTTTTTTTTTTTGTTTATCCATTGGATCTTATCTAAATTCTATCTTCCCCTTTTTATTCCCCTTCCCCATCCCTAACACAGTGCTCTGTACCCAGGAGGGTATACTGGTGTGTAGTGCTTAATGGATGTTGGTTTAATTGAACTTCAAGGAAAGTGTTAATAATAGAATTTTTGATATGTAAAGGACTTAGTGTTGAGGTTGTGGCAATGATCTGGAGCCAGAGGACCTGGGTTTGAATCCAAGATCGGCTACTTTTTGTCTCTGTGGCCTTGAACATGTTCATAATCTTTTTCTGGTTCAGTTTATTCATCTTTAAAATAAAGGAATTAGGCTCAGTGATTGTTATGGTCCCTATCAGCTTCCAATCTTGTAATTTCATATGCTAGTTGAGTTAACACACTGGTGACTTCTACATTGGACAGGAAGAATGAATTAGAAAGTAGGAAGAGACTGGACATCTGATTAGATGTGTGTGTGCGTGCGTGCGTGTGTGTGTGTGTGTGCGTGTTGGGTGTGTCACCAAAAATAGAAGGGAACAGAAAAAGGAGTATAGACATGCAAAAGATAAACTTTCTTGACTTTCCAAGTTTTATTCTCACGTGTGCTACTTTTTAAATTAATTTTTCAGTGAATAATGATTTATTTTTCTCCTTTGTACTCTGCTTTCTGCACTAGAAAGAAAGGAAACAAAACCTTCATAACAAATATACATAGTAGTTAAAAAAAACAATTGAACAAGCCTAATCGACAAATAAGAACAATTATTACTTGGGGAAAAAATGAAAACTCCTAACTTTCCTTTCTTTACAAAGCTGTCATTCTTCCAATTTAAAAAACAAACTTTAGAAAAATGCAGAGAATGCTGACAAAAAGGACCTTTCTTTGCTCACAACTTCTATTTGCTCAGGGACAGATGAAGATAATAGAACGTGTGAGGTTAAGTGACTTGCCCAAAGTCACATATCTAATAAATGTCTGAGGCCAGATTTGAATTCAGGTCTTCCTGTCTCCAGGCCCAGTGCTCTAGCCACTGAGCCACCAGCTGCCTCTGGGGTCATATTGACTGTCTTCAAGTATTTGACTACCACATCGATGGATGAGATTAGTTCAGCAGGCCCTAGAAAACAGAACTTAAAGTAAGATGGATTTTACCGTGGGAAAATTTCCTAACAATCAGAGTTGTCTATAAATGTGATGGGTTAGGAAAGGTGAAATGGTGGAGGGGCAAGTGTTAAATTTCCCCACCTCCTTATTTAAAGTCTTCCAAAAAAAATGTGGTCACCTACTTGGTATGTTTTAGAGAGATGACCACTCAATATGTTATTGTTAGGTTTGAAAATTAAGGTAAACTGAGAGACAAGATTCTGAGTAAGACCAATTCATTAGTTAGGCTAGCAGCACCAATAAATTGGGTCTATGGTTTCTCAATAACTGAAGATCCCGAGGTAGAGCTAACTAGTCTTTATATAGCTTTGGGAGGTACAAGAGAACAAAGAACAGATTTGGGTAGGTGGAGAAGACAGTGTGATTAGTTGCATCAAGGAAAGTGGGCTTGCACCCACATAGGGCTAGCAACTATTTCCCTTTGTCATTAAGGAATGCTGAATGATTTATGGCATTCATCTTCATGTTGCAGATCTTGTTTGTGGACTTGAATGAGCAGACTCCCTGGAACCTAGAAAGGTTTGTTAGGGAGATAATGGCTTTCCTTAATGATGCAGGGACAGATCAAGGACAGTAGAGCTAGCTCTTAGAGCTAGCTTCAGGACTTAAAGATAATACCAGATGTCTGGGTATTTTCCCAGGAGCCAAAGGTATTGATAGATAGCAGTTTTTCCCATTAATGAGAACTTTAAACCAACTCAGAGGGAAAGCTGAATCCCGGAGCTCAACTCAAGGACATAGAAAAGTGAATTAAGACAGATGCAGACTCAATTACAAAAATCAATATGGCGTAAAATCAATTATATTGTAGAATCAGTACAGTAGAAATCAATACAGTAGAAACTCAAAGTAATAGTAATTTCGATCTTCTTGCTTTGAAATCATCCCCTTCATTATTTCTAATGGCTAAATGATATTCCATTCATATAGCATAATTTGTTTAGCCATTACCCAATTGATTGGTATCCACTTAGCTTACACTTTAGATGCCTATGTTTGAAACCTTAAAGGCAGGGATGTATAAAGCTTTGTAAACCTCATTTATTTATTTATTATTTTTTGGTGAGGCAATCAGGGTTAAGTGACTTGCCTAGGGTCACACAGCTAGTTAAGTGTCAAGTGTCGGAGGCCAAATTCAAACTCGGGTTTTTCTGACTCCAGGGCCAGTGCTCTATTCATTGTACCACCTACTGGTCTCACTTTAAAGTGCTATATCAATGCTAGCTATCATTTACTAAAACACTTCCTCTGTCTCTCTACTTCTGCTTAGTAAAGCATAACACATGATTCTGACATGTAAGGTCTTTTTCACCTTACCTCATGCATTTTTCACGTTCTAGCCAATCTATATTTTTCTCCCTCTTTCTTCTGTCCTGCGTCTCCTGTCTCTGTGTCTTTGCTTACACTGTCTCCCATTTCTAGAATGCCTTGTTCTCACCTCAGTCTGTTGACACCCTTTACATCTTTCAAAGTACATACTGACGTTATCCCTTACATGAAGCCTTATGATTTCTTCTAGGCAGTTATTGATGGGTTCTTCCTATTTTCACTTTGCCCTCTGGTTCTAATAGATCTGGGCAGTTTTCATTCATGATTTCTTGAAATATTTCAATGTCTACTTTCTCTGAATATTAAATGCAGTATTCTTCAAGGTTTTCAGGGATGGCACTGGCTGGGGACTTGTAATCTTTCAGTGAACCTAAAATGGTCTGACAGAGAACAAAGTCGGATTGCTGCCCTTATGCAGTGAGCTTTGTAAGCTCCTGATCCCATTTAGGGTCTGGAAAACACAATTGTAGGCTTGCTTCCAGCAGGTCTTAGATCCTGATCAGCTGACTGGAAGGTTCTTCAGATTTAGAGTAGTAGGACCGAAGGCTCCTCCTTGGTCTGAGCTCCTCTCCATGGTTAGTCAGCTATAGTCCCAAGACCAGCCCGGGAGCTGAATTTGTGGCCCTGCTCTGGATTCAGAGCCACATAGCTATGACTCACTTCTCTGCATGTTCCTTGCCCAGTACATTATGTCAGACTATGACTGCTCCCTGTCTTGGTCCCTAGTCTTATGCGTAGATCTGCTGGCCTCTACCCCTTGATGGGATCTGGGACCACTACCTTTTGCTGCAGCCGCAGGCTCCCAGTTCAGTCTGTTCACTGGAAAGTTCTCTTGGCTAGACCAGTGCCTGTATCCCTGCTGACTTGGGACAGAAGAATGACTCGTTGTGATTTTTCCTTGGATTCCAAATCATGATTTAGTCTGGCACTCTTTCTAGGTCATTGTTAGGGTAGCTGTATAGAGAGTTGTATGGGGTCCTAGCAGCTCTGGTGTGAGGGCTTGCTGAGCCCTTTTCAGGGCTGCTCATTCACCTTTGGTGTCCACCTGACTCACTCAACTCTCACCCGTGGCTCCAAGAAGCTATAGCATGCATAGTAGCCACACCTTGGTAAACCATCTCAGCAGACGGGCTAAACCAGGTTGAGGGAAACTGATGGGCCTCAAACCTGTTGGTGAGTTAAGGGGATGTTTACCCCAAGCATGTGAAGACTTTCCCCAGGGGAATGTGCAGATGAGAACAATTTGTTCCAGTGGCCATGAAGGAGGCTGAAGTAGATGCTGTGGAGCACTTAGAGCTTGGTCAGACTTTGAAGATGCCAAGGTCACCCAATGCATCCTGGGTCATTGTCAGTAATCCTCATTTTTGTCTTGCCACTGGACTTTGATGATTCTGGGAGAGACGGTGAGGCTGACAGATTTGTGCAACTCTGCTTCACTTAAATCCAATTCATATACAAATCACTACATCACCCTGTGATGTCATTGGTCCTCTTTGAAAATAAAGGACAAACAACAACTTAGCACAGAATAGTAGTTTGACAAGCTATACTAAATGGAACCCCTTCCCTCCCCACCAAAACAAATAAAGCCACCGAAAAATAAATACAAAAACAAAACAGTAATCCTCGGTTACAAGCTTGAATATTCATCCAGGTAAGTCCTTTTGAAAAGTTGAAGGTTTTCTACCTCTCCCAATAAAACAAACACTGAAAAACTGAGGAAATAGACCACATAGTGTGATTTCACACAAGTAGGTGTGGGGAAGAGTAAGAGGCAGGGTGGGTGATCCTTGTTTGTGGAGATGGAGATGGGAGTAGAGAGAGATTTGTTGGGAGCAATGATTTTGCTGAAGGCATAGGAAATTCAGCACAAATCAAGGGTCATCATATGGGGCAGTAGAGTGGTACAAGACGCAGGTTTTTTTCTTTAAGGAGCTAACATCTATTTGAAAAAGCCTTTTATTTATGAAATATCTTTGAAAACTACAGGAGCCTGCTGTACTCAAGTTTTTCTTTAATTTTTAAACATTCTTTTGTTTATTTTCAGTTCCAAAATCTCTCCCTCCAACCTTTCCCCCATCCATCGAGAAGGCACTTAGTATGACACCTTTTATATGTAAGGTCATATAAAACATATTTCTGAATTAGCCATG